TACTCTTTGTTAAATAGGAAAATCATTATGCAAAAAATAGCTTCGTTGGAAAAATGTTTAAAACGTGGGGGGGTGGGAATTTTTTTTTTACTTATATTTTTCTTATGCCGTTCTTTCTCTTTCAAATTACATTTCGGGATTGAGAAAAATTTCACTTTAAATGAAAGAAAACTGTATTATTATTATTATCATTATTATTATTTTTTATGCATTTAAATTTATTCATTTGGTTAAATTTAAATACAACAGTATTATTAATTTATTAAATTTCCTGTGTAAAAATTTAAAGGGGGCACGAAAACAGCCAAAAAAAAAAAAAATTAGAAAAAATGAGTGCAGGTTGGGTCTTGCCTTACTTGTTAAATAAAAAATAAAATAATAATAATAATAATGATAATATTATTATTATTAATTCATCGTGGTTAACAAATCGAATGACTTATTTTAAAAAGAATTTTTTTTTTTGTTGTTGTTGTTGTTGTTTTTGTTTTTCTTTTTTAAAATAGGCGAATCATTTCCGTTTTAATAAAAAAAAAAACTTCCTACGAATTTTCTACTGCTACCTACTTGTTATCTGGAAACACCCATGAGTAGTATTTTCTTATCCCCCCAAATATTGCTTGAGATTTTTGTTAACAGTTTAACGATTTAAATCGTTTTGTAAGGTTTTATTTATTTATTTTTTTTTTTGTTGCTTATTTACGTTTGTGTGTTGTTTTCGCGTTATTATTATTATTATTATTATTAAGTTGTTTTGTTCGACGAGTCGTAAATTAATTTTTTTTATTTTTTAATTTTTTAAATTAAAAATTTTTTTTTTGTGATTTTTAAGGAAAAATAGAGGAAAAAAAAAACTTTCAACAGGTGAATTTAAAAATTTACAATTGATGACGTAGTAGTTTCGGCCTTGATTAATTTTTAAAAAAAAACAAAAATCGAGTAAACAAATTTAATTTGAATTTTCTACGCTGTGATCTCTTACAAAGAAAATAAATAAATAAATAAATCTTTTAATAATATCGTCGATTTTCTATTTTTTTTTCTCTCGGTCGTGTAAATAGTCGATCAAGTTGTACAAAATCGGGTTTTTTTGCCTTTTCGTAAAAAAAAAAGTATGGATTTCGAATCGGTTAGAATGATTAGCCGAGTTGATAGAATGAAAAAAGGTGAGTTTCTAATTGGTACCTCTACTAATAGAAAAAAATGTTTTATTATTATTATTATTATTATTATTATTATTATTATTTAAGTAATTAATTTGAAGGATGTGTGTGCGTGTGCATGTGTTCCGTAATAAAAACCTTGAATGTTTTTTTTTATATGGGTATAAATTAATTTTTTTTTTCAATAGAAAAAATTTGATACCATATATGTGTCTTTTAAATAATCATTTGTCGTTTGAGGAAAGGGGGAGGGGAGGGGGGGAAATACGTAAGTTAAATAGGTGACGGATAAATCGACAAGTCGATTAGTGTTTTTTCATTGAGGACTTGTACAAAAGTCATTTATTTCAATTCATTTCTTTTACATAAGACAAAAAAAAAAAAAAAAAAATTGGATAAGGTTCGAGTACGAGTACCTTAAAGGTTCTATTTAAAACAAAGCAAAATTTCATTTGAAAACGCAGAATGTATCTTATAGTTAGGTGGTTCATGCGATTCGTATTGCGTATTTTTTTTTTTTTTTTTTTTTTTTAGTCGTCCTTAAATGGCGAATACCTTGCGAGCACCTGCACCCATGTTTTAAAGAAATAATAATAATAATAATAATCAATTGTGGGCGTTGGATAAGGAGATGGGATTATGTTAAGTGTACCTAAAAGCCTTGTTTATTTGACGGAAAACGAGATATTTTAAAAATAAATTTTCTTTTTCTTTTTTCTTCTTTTAAATTTACTCATTTATTTATTTAAATGAAAGAAATTTTACGAGTCGAGCGTAATTTTAGGGCAGAAATAATAATAATGATAATAATAATTTATTAGTCTTATTTAAAAATTGCCTCGTAATCTTATGAACTCTAATTACGGTTTCAATTAAAATTAATTAATAAAAAAAAAAATTTTAATTCTTTTCATTAACTATTAATTTAGTATAATAAATTATTAGTCTTTTTTATTTCGCAAAGCATGAGTAATATTTTTTTTCTCTTTAAATATTAAAAGAAAATTTGTCGTCATGACAAATAATAAAAAGGAATCAAAATGTATGTCATGGGTTATTAATGTCATGAAAATTATCAATTTGTTATTATTTCCCCCCTCTCTCTCCCCTCTTTCCCCCTCTTTCGATTTTACGGTTGAAAGCCACGTGGCAAAAAATTTTAATTTATAATTAATAAATTGATAAGTTTAATAATTTTCCATAAAAAAAAATCTAACTAATAAAACTTTTAGGCGATGACGTCATCATCACACGTGGTTTATACGTGAATTAACAACGAGTATTGCCAATTCGTTTTTTCTCGCGACCTTTTGGTAAATCGTCCTTAAAAAAAAAAAACTACTCGGTCAACCTTAATGTGACAAGGTTACAAAAAATAAATATTTGATTCCTCCTCCTCTACTATTTTTTCTTTCTATAACTTTAAATACGATGGTATGGGAGGAGAAAAAGGGAAAACGGGAAAAGTTCACAGTCTATTAATCCGCTACTGATTGTAATATATATATAATATAGGGCAGTGGCCAAAAAAAAAAAATTTAAGAAGTGGAAAATGTTTGAAGCAGAAGCTTGGCTTCGACTTCATGATCCCAATTCTAGTTGTTTGCTTTTACTTACATTGAATGTGTCATTTATTTTCATTATTATTATTTTTTTTTATTCTTTGTAAAAATTACTACCATTTTTAAATCATTTTCGTATAATTTTCAAAATTGCAAAATTTTATTGGAAAACCATTTTTTTTCTTTTTTTTTTTTTTTTGCGTGTGTCGAAAACCAGTTTGGGGGAAACAAAACAAATTTTTTATTTTATTTTTATCTCTTGAGGTAGAGTAAATTAAATTAGAAATTAATAATAATGACAGTTTGGTGGACGGCCACTGTTAAAGATAAAGGTACGAGAATACATTCTCCCACACCTGAACTTACGACCATTGTTTCCGAGGAAAGAATAACAATCAAAGATGCTGATACCCATATTAGTAAGTAATAATAATAATAATTAATCTCTCATTTAACTTCGAGTGGTGTGACGTGGACATTTTTCTTTTGTTTTCAAAAGAATTTTAATATATATATATATGTAAGTTTAATGAATGTACGTTGAACTTGGTTAATATTGAGGTAGGCCAACTCATCAGGTCTTAGACCCCCCATAAAATTTGAAAATCATGAGAGAGCCTGTCGCGTTTCCTTCTGTTCTTTACTTGATTGCCATAAAAAAAATTTTTTACAATTACCAATTAATTTAATTAATTTCATTTAAAAGTAATTAAAAAAAAATATATATATATATGTATGGGATGAAAGGCGGACTACACCAGCGTGGTTTTTTACGATGAAGTCAGCAATAATGGGGGGAGGGGGGCCACATTGCCTGTCGTTTCTTTTGTAATCCCATTGCAAAAGTATATTTATAGAATTCAGCTAATGTTTTATTGTACAATAATTTTTGTTTGTTTTGACAAGACAACAAACGAATAGAGACCGTGAATGACTGAATGAATGAATGAATGAATGAATTAAATTTTGGCAAAGTTGTTGTCAAAATTTTTATTTTACTTTGACATCACGTTTGGGTAAAATATATACAACAAAATAAAATCGAACGACGCCATTTTTTTTTTTTTTTAATGTTTTTTTCTCTTTTCTATTTTTTCTTTTTAATAAATAATTATAAAATTAGTTTTTTTTTTTTTTAAAGTTTGTGCCAATAACTATAAAAATTATTCACGTTTGACGTCATCGTTGGACAGTTTTTTTGTTTGTTATTGTTTTCGTTTTTGTTTTTATCGAAAATGAATATATCGTGACTGAATTTGTACTATGAAATATTATATTTAAAAAAAAAAAAAAATTATTTTATTTAAGCTTTGTTAATATAGAAAGAATTGTTGAATGAGTCATTGTTAATTTAAGTTTTTTTTTTTAAATCCAAATAATTGGAAAAATAAAAAATTTTTTTTTTTTTTTTTTGGGGGGGGGGAGAGTAATTGACTCTTGTTAAAAAGGTCATTTACAATTTTTAAATTTGCAATATTAATTAATTTTAATAGATTTTTAATAAATTATAAAACTTTTTTTTTTTTTACTATTTATTTTTAGAATAATCAATCGTTTTAAAATATATCGATTGATTATCAATTAAATTAATTATTTTGAAAATGTTTTTGTATCGATTCAAAATCCACTTGAACTCATTTAAATTTTTTTTTAACGTTTAAGAATTTTGGGATAAATGTAAAAGTCCTTCATTGCACTTGAATCCTTTTTTAAAAAAAATTCTACTTGCTACTAAAAAAAAAAAAAAGAAAATTATTTTAATTAATGGTAGATCGAAATCCTCTTGCTTAAAACTTTGTCTGGATGTTTGAATTCATTTAATACCGTTTGGAAAATTTAAAATTAGATTTTTTTTTTTTTTTTTTGCTTCTTTCGATTGTCTTTTTTTTTTTTTCTGGCAAAGGTTCAGATGAATTTCAAAAAAAAAAAAAAAAAAAAAAAAAGAGTCATTGGCTTTTTTTTTTAATAATATATATAAATATTAAAATGGTCGTATTGAAAATTAAAATAATATTAATTTAAAATCAATATTTCAATGTTTTCAAAAAAAAAAAATATTATTATTAAAAATACGAATAAAATGTTTTTGTTTTTGTTTCTTTGTTATGCTTATGATATTTGCTTATTTCAAGGTATTCCCATTTAACCTCAAACCATTTTAAAATAATCAGTTGTAATATATTGTTTGCACATCGTTGTTTGAAATGTGTAAACGTTTCCATCATTCGTTTTTTTTTTTTTAAATAAAATTTTTTTCATTGTAAGTAGTATGAAAATGAACGAGCAAGAGTTCGAAACCATTTTCGGTGGTATAGGTGAAAATTATTTTAGATTTTTTTTTTTTTTAAAACGTTTTCACGGTGAAGAAGGCAACCATACGGTTAACGATTTTTTTTTCGGTTTTATTTAGATGCCTTATTGGCCGATTTACAAAATACCATATCTCCGAGTTGTACACCCATAAGAGACATTGGCTCCTCCACATCTGGTTACGGATCCTTAAATGGTCCTAGAAAAGACATCGGCAATGATGTTGGAACGATGGTCAATCAAATATATACGGAGAAAACGACGTCGGTGCAAAAAACGCACTCGCCCCCCACACACGTGAGTTTTTTTTAATTATTTTTTTAAAAATGTGCTAAAAATTAATTTTATTGAAATATTAAAAAAAAAAAAGAAAATTTATAAATTATCAAAAAATTCGAGGTTTTTTGTTTTTACCAATCGGCCCCCTCCCAAAAAAAAAAAATAATAATAATAATTAAAAATATTGTTGATCTTGCCAAATAAAACATTTCGAGGCCATTTTTATTTTTTTTTTTTATTTTTTAACGTAGGAAGTTTATAAATTTTTTTTTTAAAAAAAAAAAATAGAAAGAAGAAATGTTAAATGTTACGATTTCGAGTTCAAAACAAAACGCAAAGATGGCAGCCAATGTGCAAAAATTTATTAAAATTTTTTCTTTTTTTTTTTTTTGTATATATTTGTTCATTGCTTCATTTAAATGTCAAATTTAACGGTTCAAAATGAATTATAAATGATTGTCAGCAGAAGAAAAAGTAAAAAAACAATAATAATAATAATGGATTTTAATTTTTTTTAGGTTTCTTACCAGCAACAGCAAAACGTTGGATTAGGGTCTCCGAAATCTCCCGTGTCACCCAAATCCAATTCTTCGTTTAATAATAATTTATCCGAATTGGATACCTTACTCCAAGATTTAAGCAATGCTAAGTATGCGAATACGGGTAGTTTGGAAAAGAAAAAGGTCAACGGTTCTTCATCTCCTGTTAAAACTACCAACCCCGTCCGACCGACCGTTGATAGTTTGCTGGATGAATTAAGTAGTCCGCTGTCGAATGGAACAACCGGGTAAGTAGGAAAAAGTACCCACCCCTCCCTCCATGTATATCAACCCCATACGCGTCACTTAATGAAAATAATTTTTTTTTTTTTTTGGGTTTCAGAGACTTACGAGATGTGTACGTTCGAAAAACGTATACGGTTACCGAAAATCAAACGGAATCGAGAATACCCATATCTAGAAATGGTGGTGGTGGTGGACACACGTCTCCCATATCAGTTGTGAGTTCTACGGGTCCATTGCCGATCGGTACGAGTGCTTCTTCAGCAACCAAAGAATTGGATGATTTGATGGCTTCACTTTCGGATTTTAAGGTAAGTTAATACTTTTCCATTTTTTTTTTTCTTGTCTTCGAAAACATTAGAATTAAATTGAAAAAATTTTCTCAAACGGTTGAGCTTTTCGAAACTATTCCCTCATATTCGATTTTAAATGCAAAAAAAAAAAAATTTTGTAATTAAAAAATTTTTATTGATTGGAAAAAGAAAAAAGAAAATCTATTTTTAACACCGAGAAAATTTTTTTTTTTTTTTTTTTTATTGGAAGCAAATTTGTTTTTCCGGAAAATTTTGGTGCTTCCTGGTACTGATTTCTCTAAGTTTTTGCATCTCCCTATTTTATTCCCTTTTTGACCCCCCCCCCCGTGCTAAATATTGGCACCGTTTTTTTTCCATCTTATTTTAAATTAAGACTTGAAAATTTTTCCGATTCATTGTTTTTACAAATATTCTTTCACCGTGTTACTGTGTTACACCTTAGTAGTAGATAGAAACGCCCAAAACAAAATATTTATATATATTATTATTATTATTATTATTTATTTTCCAATATTTTTTTGTAACGTTTTTTTTTTTTTTTTCAAAAACAATAAAATTGAATTTCGACGTTTTAAAAAAAAATATGAGGTTTCATGTTGAGCTTATAATTTGATTTAATTTTCATATGAGATTAAAAACAACGAATTTTCTTTTTTCTTTTTTCTTTTTTTTTTTTTTTTTTTTTTTTGGCCCACAATGATGCCAACGACGATTCAGAAATAGATTTTCTGGAGGAGTTTGAATTAAGTTCGTAGAAAAATGAAAAAAAAAAAAAAAAAAAAAAAAAAAGTTTCCTTGTTTACGTAATAATTATTATTATTATTATCATTAATGTTTTTCTCTGTAATTAATATTATTATTTGGATGGGGGGGAGGGGGGAAAATGTTTATATTCAACTGTTTAAAATTATCGGTTCGATAAAAAAGCGACATTGGGTCAAACTTATTAAAACTTGTATAAAAATGATTTCAAAATAAAAATATATATAATTTATGTGTACCTTATTCAGGTACGTTTACATTCAGGTACGCTCTGTCGTTAACGCATGGTTCAGCAACAGTACAAATTTTCCACTCGATTAACGACATTTTCACATAATGTACTTATTTGCCACGATGATAAACTTTCGGAAAATTGGGGCACGGGGGCGGGGAGCGGGGGAGGCGGATGCGTGGGCGTACACGACAGTAAACTTTTCAATATGTTTCCAATTTTTTTTATTTATTTATTTATTTTATTTTATTTTATTTTATTTCGTTTAACGATACGTTTCTTTAAATCTACAAATAATTGAAGTCGATGAGATTTTTTTAAACTATTTACACTTGGAATCAAAACAAAACGATTTTGAGGCGGAGTTTCATTTTTTTTAAAAAAAAAAAAAAAAGATGAAAGGTGGGGGTGCGGTAAGCCAAAGAAGGGGAGGAAGTTTTCGGGAAGCGGAGTGTGGGAGGGGGGAAAGGAAATTTTTTCTGATCGCATTTTTATGTCTCCCGTAACACTTTGCCAGTCTTTTGAAAGACTTCTTCGATAATTAAGTATTTCGCCGCGGGATTTAATTAATTTATTTATTTCTACGAAAAAATTTTATTATTATTATTATTAAAAAAAATATATCAGTATGAGTTAGAATTTAACAATAATTTTTTTTTGTTTTTTTTAATTTAAAAAAATTTTTTTTTTAATTTTTTCTTTTTTTGTTTAAATGTATATATATAGATCAACGAAGGGAGTCATCAACATCAAACAGTGACTGATTCGCCATACGCGAAACCCAACAAAGCGACGAAAACCACGACGAAATCCCTGACTCAAAGTCAGTTCAAGCAAAATCAATTGGATTCCATGCTTGGCAATCTCCAAGCTGACATGTCTAGGCAAGGGATTAACACGGCACAAAAAGGTTGTTGCAACGCTTGCGACAAACCCATCGTCGGACAAGTGATAACGGCTCTGGGAAAAACATGGCATCCGGAACATTTCACGTGCACTCATTGCAATCAAGAATTGGGAACGAGGAATTTTTTCGAAAGGGATGGCGTTCCCTACTGCGAATCCGATTATCACAATTTGTTCTCACCGAGATGTGCTTATTGCAACGGACCCATATTGGATGTACGTGTTGTTGTTTTGTCTTCCGGAACGATGATGAGGTGATGGTGTGGTAAGCGGAAATAATAATAATAATGGAATTTTTTGTTTTTTTTTTTTTTTTTAGAAATGCGTTACGGCATTGGAAAAAACGTGGCACACGGAACATTTCTTTTGCGCCCAATGTGGTAAACAATTCGGGGAAGAAGGTTTTCACGAAAGAGAGGGTAAACCTTATTGTCGGGAAGATTATTTCGACATGTTTGCTCCCAAATGCGGGGGTTGTAATCGACCCATAATGGAAAATTATATTTCTGCACTCAACAGTCAATGGCACACGGATTGTTTTGTTTGCAGGGTGAGTTACAAAATACAAATTATTATTATCATTAAATTAAATTTTTTTTTTTTTTTTTTTTGTGGTCTTCATTCATATTTTACGTGTGTCATGAAATTTATTTAAAAAAAAGAAAAAAAAAATTTTCTCTAACCGAATTTTATACAGGACTGCCAGAAACCCGTTACGGGAAAATCTTTTTATGCAATGGAAGGAAAACCAGTTTGTCCCCATTGCGTGGGAGTCGACGAAGATGATGCTGATGAATAAAAAAAATATGTTCAAAGCCCTCCACTTTTTCCCCCACCCTGCCCTCCCTACCCCCCCCAAAAAAAAAAAAAAAAAGTTTTCGACGACACCAAATGCGCCGTGTACACACAAACATCTCTCACTCTCTCTCTCTCAAAAAAAAAGACATGTATAAAAGTTATGATGATGATAATGATACTACCACTTTCCCCCCACTACCTCCCGTTGATTTTAAGGTCTTTCTGTGATCGTTATGTAATGAATTTTTCCCCTCGAAAAACATGGTAGCAGCTTTTCCCGCACAAACCGACGACGCCGCACATAATTATTATTCCGGTGAGCTTTTAAAAATGGCGAAAAAAACCTTATACATAATTATTTATTGTTGTATATAGTTTGAAAATTAAATAAATAAATAAATAAAAGCTATGTAAAAATAAAAAAATTAAAAAATTAAAAAAAAAGCAGGAAAAAAAACAAAAAAACAAAAAAGAAAATTTTAAAATAATGATGATCATTTGGCTCTTGATCGATATTTAGAGCGCTAAACGGGGGGTGGGGAGGGGAGGGAGTAATGGTGGGTGGTGGTGGTGGTGGTGTCATAATTAAAAAATACGTTCTCGCAAATTACAATTCAACCTTTTTTTTTGCCGATCAATCATTATTATTATTATTGCATACAATTAAAGATTGAATTTTAGGTTAACACGTAGAAAAGAAAAAAGAAAATTGTTTTAAAATTGGGGGAGGGGGAGAGGGAGGGGGAAACGACCGCAATCCGAGGAGGATGTTTTTACGAAATGCATTATTATTATTATTATTATTATTATTATTATTTCTCTCTCTCTCTCTCTCTCTCATAGAAAATGTGAAAAGTTTTTAAACATTTTCGTTTATTGCTTTTCTATTTTTAGAACGAAAACATATATATATATACATAAGTCGATTCGCAATTTCTATTTTAATATTATTTATTTATTTATTTATTTTGAGTACAATTTAATCATTTTAAATCGTTTTTAATACGTTTCTCTCTCTCTCTTTTTTTTTGGCAACACGAAACGATTTGAAATTATTTTCAAGAGTCGAAAAAATAATAATAATAATTAATAATTTATAAATTTTTTTTTCTTTCATTTTTCTACGAGTGCGTAACGGAGGACTCGGGTTCGAAACTTTTCACGTACAAAAAAAAAAAAAAATTTGTACAAACGATTGTCGGTTGTTTCGTGCATCATTCATCAAACTAATGGGAAATTATCATCATTATTATTCCTTCTTAAAATGAAAATTCTAAAAGTTTGTTTTGCCAGAAAAATTTTTCCACAATTTTTAATTTGTGTGTATATTAACACGGATCCCCCTCCATTTTTCGCCACAATCGAATCGACACAGAAAAAAAATTGGGTTGAGAGTTAAACGTCAGCGTTATGAAAACAAGCACACGCACACGCACACACGCACAAATATATATATATATATATATATATATATATATATATATATATATATATTTATACATTCGTATATAATAAAACTTAAAAATAAATTCAGTGATATTCAGCAACGGATTTGGCCATAATCCAAAGAGAAAAAAAAGAAATGTTTAATGAAGATATCGTTGCCGTCATGATGATGATGATGATGATGATAATGATGATGATGATGATGATGATGATAATGATGATGATGATGATGATGATGATAATGATGATGATGATGATGATGATGAGGAGGAGGAGAAGGAAGAACAACAACAACAACAACAACTTTTAATGCGACGACGACGACATGTTTGTTTTTTGTATGTTTTTGACCAAAAGAGAGAGAGAGAGAGAGAGAAAGAGAAAGAAGGAAAGAAGGAAAATGGCATCGCTTAAATTTTATTAAAAATTTATTTTCCAATTACAGGATTGCAGGCAACCTTTTCAAGGAGGTTCATTTTTCGATCACGAAGGTTTACCCTATTGCGAAACTCATTACCATGCGAAAAGAGGTTCGTTGTGCGCGGGATGTCACAAACCCATAACAGGTAAATGAAATAATTTGATTGTCACGTGATCGACACACGTGATCGTTTGATATACGTTTTTTTTTTAATTTTTCGTCAGGTCGATGCATAACCGCCATGTTTAGAAAATTTCATCCGGAGCATTTCGTGTGTGCATTTTGTTTGAAACAATTGAACAAGGGAACGTTCAAAGAACAAAACGATAAACCTTACTGTCACGGATGTTTCGATAAACTTTTCGGTTGATTCGAGCTTTTCGTCGATACTAAATAATTAATTTTATTTCGCCGAAATATGTACGAAAATAAAAAATGGACGTGTACGAACAACATTTGGGCTCGGGTATTTTGCTGCATACATACCCCCCCCCCCCGTACGAAAACGCAATTCGAAATTTTTTTTTTTTTATTAACGAAATACCGAACGATACGATGAAATAATAATAATAATAATAATGAAATTCAGGTACTCTTAAAAAAATTTATTTGAATTTTATATCGTTTGACATTCTCGTCGTCAACCGTCACTCAGTCACTCACCGCACAAACGAATTCACATTTTTTTTGTTTTTTTTTTTTTTTTTTTTTTTTAATCCAGAACGATAAAGTAAATTTAAGAGGGACTAATCTAAAAAAAAAAAAATAAAATTTTTAAATATTATTTTACTAAACTCAATAACAGTTATAGATTTGTAAAAAAAAAAAAAAAAGTAGAAAAAAGTAAGAGTTCCAGGAGTTTATATACGTATTCATTCCAATTTATTGACCTCACTTTAATACAAATGCTTTTCTTTCCATTAATATGTAATATATATATATAAATAAATAAGTTTTTTTTTTTTTTTTTTCTATTAATTGTACAAACGTTTTTTTCTTATTTTTTGTAACTAATTCAATGTGACAGTTATTAGTTATTACATCTCCTGGTTCACTTTGTTAAAAAAAAAAAAATAATATATAAAATAAATAAATTTAACTAAATTTATATATAATATTTTGTTTATAAAAATTTATTTTTTATTAACTATTGTATTGTTTTTTAAATAATTAATTTATTGATAATTAAACAATAAAAAATTTATTAATTTGAGAATTTATTTATTTTTTTTGTTTTTATAATTAAAGGGAATAAAATTAAAGGAATTTTGAAAAGAAAAGAAAAAAAATTTATAAATAAAATTTTTTTATTATGTACAAGGAATTAAAAACAATTTAAATTAAATTAATTGAGGAAATAAATCTGATAGAGTATCACCAAATAAATCATTGAACGAACTGATACTTGAGAGATCACTTTCATATGGTGATCCAATTGATTCATAGCCAAGATCAGATGAAACATCACTTTTTGGACTAAGGGAATTTTGAAAAATTGTCTCAGGGTGTAATGATGCCTCTGGAATTTTACAAGAGTCTACATTTTCTGTTGAAAATTCTTCAAAATCATATGTACACATGTCTTCTTCATTGATTTTTATTTCTGGAATATTTAAGGTAATTTTTGTATCGGAGGAATTTAGTGTTGGTAAATTATAATTTTGCTCTGTTGCAATTCCTTGCGCATAAGAATGCTCCGAAGCAATCAAAGAAATTTTTTCTTCAATTGTTAAACTTTCAATTCCATTGCTGAATTGTAAAATGTTTGTTCTCGATTTTGATTTATCTTCACTGGGTTCCAGGATTTTTGATGAGGCCCCCACCATTTCAAAATTTGTGATGCATTTTTCATGGTCAGACTCTGAAATCTGTAAACATGTCGCTGATAAATTTATGTTTCCTAATTTTTATCTTACTAACATAATGCATTAGTTTCAAACCTCATTTGAAATGAGCTGACTGTCTTTCCTTGATCCATTCTGTTCAACTTCTTCCAACAGACTTGCTGCCAATCTTTCAAGGTCATCAAAGAATTCCTGTCCCTTGATGTCTTCCAACATTTCCGAGATAGGAGATAAAGAAGGAAGATCTTCCAAAGTTTCAATGAAGCTGCATCTATCAAACTTTGTGCCAATATTGTCCATTGACCCTTCTTCAGAGGGAATTTATGAGACACTTCAGGTCTACTTAAGGAATGAACATTATCAGCAAAAGCCGGTTGCACAACAACATTCGAATTCTTCGAAACATTTTTTTCTCCATCTCCTGAATTCAGAAGGCAGGAACAGGTATATGAACTTTCTGCTAAAGCTTTACGAAGTTCTTGATTGGCATCAATCAATAATTCATTTTTTTGTTTCAATTCATTAACTTGTGAAACCAAGAGATTATTTTGTTGCTTTAACTCTTTTAAACTTTCTTCCAAAAAATCCATTTTTGCTTTTTTTCTGTCTCGAGATGTTTGTGCAGCTATCCTATTACGAAGTTTTCTGTAAATACAAATATGTTTATGTTATGACAAATGCAATAATCCTTTGTTTAAAAAAATCATTGTTAAATTATAGTTTAAATTAATTAGTTTAGTAAGTAATCATTTTTATTATTGATTTCGTGTCTTACTTTCTTTGTAATTTTTCCTCCCAGGATAACTGATGAAGTCTCATTCTTTTCCTTACACCATTCATGGGAACAGCATCATAAATATTTTCACTGGCCAAATCTAAATCGTGAATAATTTTTTCGTAATCCATATTTTCTTGTTTTATTTTAGGCATCAATAATATTTTATCATCGGCTAAAAACATTGTTTACAAATTTTCACAGCTGCAAATTATAAATCACGTAATCAAACCGTATTTTCGAAAGATTAAAGCACACACAAAAAAAAAAAAAAGAAAACCATCAACTTCAAAGCCTCATACTTTTCCTGATGCAATTTTAATTATTGATGACTCAGCAACTTTTTTCATCATTTATCATAAGGTAAACATAAGCTTTCAAAATCCATGTGTGTTATTATCATTGGTGGATTTTAACATTTAATTGTTCTGACGCATTTTTCCAATGAAAGGAGAAAAATGTGGGGGAGGAGGAGGCATTTATTAAAAAAAAAAAAAAATTTTAATTTTTTTTTTGGAGAATTAAAAAATAAAGATTATATATCATAATAAACTTAATTACAGGTTCATAATCATTATTATTATTATTATTGAAATTATAAGACAATGTATGTAATACTATCTTTTTTGATACAATGCAAAGTAAGCAATAATAATTTTTTTCCAACTTATATTAATTAGAGATTTTATTGTTTTAAGTCAATTTAAGTACGAAAACGAAAAATTATTTAAAAAAATTAAAGTTCCAGATAATTATCGCGCAAAAAATTATTTCGAAAAATCGACTTATTAGAAAATTATTTTTTTGGGCCTTTTTTTGAATTTAAATGGACTATGGTAAGCCAGTTGTGCGTGTGTGTGTGTATGATACCACTAAATGATGTAATTAGTGATAAGCAAATTTGGCCTGAATTGTTCATACAGTAATGTGATAATCAGATTTTTAGTATTAATTAATAATAAAAAATAATAATAATAATAATTTTTTTTTTTTTTTAAAGAATGATGTAAAAAGCTTATGCGATCGCGCACCTTACCGATTCCTAAACATACCTGACGCCAAAATTAATAGTTTAATTATTAATTAATTTTTTTAAAAATTTTTCCTTGAAATATTTAATTAAATATTAATTTTTTATTTATATAAAAAAAAATATAAATTTTCTTGTTGTTTTTTTTAACTAAATATTTTTTTCAAGTCGTAATTAATTTTTTATATCAATAAAAAAAATTAAAAGGACTTGATGATTCCATTTTCATTTTTTAATAAAATGAACGTAAAAAATTTTTCAAATGCTTGGAAAAGAAATGTTACTTGCGAAGAATGTTCAATTCGACTTAATGTATTTCGAAGAAAAGTAAGTTTTTTAATAATTAATTATATTTTTTTTAAAAAAAAAGTAAAAAATTTTGTCAATTTCTTAAATTACTGTCACTGTATTATAAAGTGTCAGAACAAAGAAAGTGTGTTTCTATATTGATAAATGTAAATATTTATTTTTTCATGTTTTTAAAAACAAAGTGCATTATTTTTATTTTTTTTAAAAAATTTTTTTAAAATGCAAGTTGTTTTGTTAAAAACTCAATTATTATTAAACTATTAATTTTTTTTTTAAACTATTAAAAACATAATCTTATTTTAATTTTGGAATCATATGTTATTTATTTCTTTTGACAAAAATAAAAAAAAATAAAAATTTTTTTAGTATGAAATCAATTTGATGAAAGCTTAATATTTTATTTTACTTTTTTTTTTTTATTAAATTTGTAGAAAATATGTTTTTTTTGCAAAAATTCATTTTGTCAAGTTTGCATTATGAGGCAAGAAGATACCAAATTTTGTTGTAAAAAATGTCAAATATTAACTGCCAGACCATTAGATAGAAATGAATTGCTAAATTTAAGAAGTAGAGACCTCATAAATTATTTAACATCAAGACATATTTCTACGAGTGGATGCGTTGGTAGGTTACTTTTTCAATTAAGAACAAAACAATTGTTTGTTATTTAATCATAATGAATTATACAAATCAATAATAATGTTTCATTCATGCATATCATTTTTCAATAATTTATTACATTTGTTTAATAATGTAGCTAAATCTAATTTCAACTTGACGTAAATTACTTCACCATTGTTTCAACATCTAAATTGTATTATAATTTTTAAATGAGATGTTCTCCGTTTTGAAAATATTTTTATATTTATTTTATGCAGAAAAAGAAGATTTGGTTAACATTTTGATTAGAGATGTAAATGATTCATACATTCACCCATCTACTTCTACACCCTTAGAAGGTAATTATTGTACTAATAGTTACCCCAACACTCCGAGAAATAGTTCCTTCAATACGAGTAATTCAAACGAAAAGAAAAGATTTTCATTTAGTGCAGAAAACTTGTTTAATGAAGATGGAATAAGAATAATTGGACATGATGATAGTAACAATAGAGAATTGAATCATGAGTCGAATGTATCTGAACAAAATATTCCGAATAGTGAAATAAATGAACCTGGTCAGTCTTCCGATTTCACAGTAGATAATAATATAACAAATTTTGGTCAGAAAGAAAGGGATGAGGAAAATTTAAATGAAACAGTATTACTCAATAGTAATTCAAAAAAAGTGGAAAACCGTGACAGTTGCGGTTCTCCTTCTAATACGAATAAACCTTTAATGTTATCAGATATTAAAGATAGTAATGATCTCAATGCTTTAAGCATTAAACAATTAAAAGAATTACTAATGAGAAATCGAACTGATTTTAAAGGCTGTATCGAGAGAACTGAACTTTTACAAAAGGCTAACAGATTATGGAGTGATTATGTAGTGTCAAGGAAAGGTAAATATATATTAAATTCAAAAACCATGATAATAATAATTTATCGAATACATTTATTTCAATATCAATCTACAATTTAAATGTTTCGCTAAACATATATTCATAATACTTTATTATTAAAATTTTTTTTTTTTTTGTAACGTTAACAATTATCATTATTATTATCGTTTTTATTTTAGATTTAGACAATTTGAGTTTGGATGAACTTTGTAAAATATGTATGGATGCTCCAATTGAATGCGTTCTTTTAGAATGTGGTCACATGGCAACATGCACATCTTGCGGTAAACAACTCTGTGAATGTCCAATATGTAGACAATTCGTTATACGATGTGTACGAACTTTTAAAGCTTGACCGATTAATAAATCAAATCAATAAATTTAATTTACTTACATGAAAATAATAATAATAATAACTTTCAAGTTATTAAATTTAGTCTCTTCCGTAATTATGAGTTTGTGAAGGTCTATCTATACGATATAATTTTTCACCCAATCCGAAATAAGCCAAATATTCAACGTCATTTGGAGTTGTATCTATATGATAATGTCCACCTTCACCGTGGTGACTAAAACTATGGAAATGTTGAACCCTTAAATCCAATCCCTGTAACCCGAAAAAATTTTATTTTTTTTTACCCTTATTCAAACAAAGAGTTACTACAAAGTTATTAGTAACTCTTATTAGTAGAATGACAACTACTAATGGCAGACTATGACATATAAAATATTTTAAATTGTGACTTAAATGCATTTGTTTCCCATATTTTTTTTTATCACTATTTTTTTTCGAATCAATTAAAAAAAAACATATTTATATATATATATATTAATCAATGAATAAATTTATTTATTTAAAAAAATTTGTTTATTGTTCACAGTATTATAATTTATTTATAATAAAATTATATTGATAATAATGATAAGAAGTAAATTAATTTGGATACTTTTAGTTTATTATCAATGAAAAAGGCTCATTATTTAGTAATAACGTTTAGCCAGTTACATATATATATTATAGTTAATATATTATTTTATAAGGTACACAGGTTCAATGAAATGTTGTTTAAAAAAAAAAAAATTTTAATTAATATAAATCAAACGAGTTTTTTTTTTAAACGGTTTTTAATCAAAACATCCTATAATAATAATGTTAAAATTAATTAATTCAAATTAGTGTCGGTTATTTAATTATTTTTTAATATATACATATATTTACATAAAATAAAAATTTGTTATAAACAAAGTTATTAATTAGTTTCATTTAAATCATTTGTTAAACGAAAAAAAAACGGTAAATAAATCGAAGGATGTTAAAAATAAATAAAAAAAAATTTATTTTTGTTATTTATCCGTCTAAAATTTGGGCTCTTACGGAAATTTTTTTGTAACGGATTTAATGACGTCATCAATTAACCGTTAATTATTGTGTCAACAGATAATTTGATTCATCTTACCGGATCGTTATTGACCAAAGTTCCCACGGCAATCAGTGGAGTATTCATTTCATAAAATTTCAACCATTTATTTAAATCATCTTCAGATGAAATTTCTCGATTTGAAAAATCAGGCATGACGTGTTGTTTGACTTTTCCTTTTTTTATAACGAAAACTCCACCCAAACCTAAAATTTTTTGAATTGTTCCCGTTTTACGTGAAATGATTTTTATAAAATCAATTAATTTTATGTTTACCTAATATTTTGTCTTTGAAATTTTCTCCCAAAATTTTACGGATGCTTGTTATAAAATCATCATTTCCGATTCTTTTCGAACATGATATTTCCAATACCTAAAATATTATTATTATGATTATTTTAAAAAACTTAACTCCTTAGGTTACTAAAAAGGTTTTTTTTATTCCTCTTATGGAAAACAACTTTTCATTTATTTTTTCCCCTTAATTTACCTTTCCTTGTTCTCCAGAAGAACAATATAAATTAGATAATACTGCATTGCGACATTCGTCATTTGGTAATACTTCTTGTATGCATTTTCCATCAGTGACATTAACCTTAGCAATTCTTGTCTTATTATTAACTTTATCACCATTATGTTCCATGTTAATAATCATCTGGCAAGCAAAAAAAATTTTATTTTAACTCAAAGTTTTATAAAAAAATAATATATTATAATATGAAAAGTATCAATGACCTCACAATTGGTACCAGCATAAGGCCAGGGACCTGCTCCAGCACCGGTTATGTAGCATGGATCTAAATTTAAAATTTTACTCAAATCTTTTAAATCATAAAGTTTATCCTTTCTAGGTTTGGGTAATAGGTATGGTACTCCTCCTATTTCCACTATCCTCTCATTTCCTGTCAAACCTTGACAAAAGGTGACACTTTTAGTTGTTTTACCAAAATATGATGTGTACCATTCAAATTATTATTATTTAGTTACCTTTGCATGCTAATGTAAATGGCGGTTGAGTAAGATCAGGACAATCCTTAACTTCTACCTTAACTTTTTCAAAGTTGTATTTTAAATGCTCGTTTAAACCTGTAAAAAATTTTAGGAATTTAAAATACCTTAATATTTTCTAAACAACGTTTTACATTTCTAAGCCATTAATTCTTTTTTAATGTTTTGTAAAAAAAAAAAAAAAGAGAAAAACAAAGTAATTAAAAAAACTTTTTAACTTATCAATAATTTATTAGGTTATAAATTAAGAATGAGTTGAAAAATTCAAAATGAATAATTTTTTAGTAAAAAACCCCCCCAAATAAAGTAAAATTTTAAAAAAAATTTTTCCTCCTCCATTTTATTTTTAGGCTTTTACATAAACAGTCAGTACCAGTTTTATTTCCTCTTGAATTATCTTGTTTTTTAGTTTTATCTAATATAAGTTAATCCTTTGTAAATATATGTGATGATGATAAATACAAAAGAAGCTTTTGCTTTATTTATTTTTAAAAAATAAATTATTACATAAGTCTGTAAAAATAAAATTTGTTGTACTAAATTCCTTTTATAAAATTTTTTTTTTGAAGTTAATGTCAAGTGAAATAAGTCAAATAATAATAATTATGAATTACAAGAAGAATTTAAGAGGATTTTTAATTTTAATGGCGTTTTAAATAACTCTCAAAACTGTTTTATATGAAAATTTCAAATCATACCTTAACACAAATTGTTATACTTACCAGCAGCTAAGTCTTCCAAAGGTACGATACTTAAATCAAATGTTTCAATCGCACAATTTTTCATTTCGACACTTTTTGGTATCATTTTTTTTATTTTTTAAATTCGTTTCTCTCTACAAAACAAAAAAAAAAAAAACAATATTAATGCAACCTGAACCTATGTGAGACTAATTTAAATAGTAAATTTCACGAGACGTTATCTGGTTATCCTTGACTAAAAATGAACACTTTTTTAAGGTAAGTTAACTAAACGCGAAATAACGGATGTTAACGGTTAAAAAATATTTCGAAAACTGTTCTTTCCTTCTGCTTCTATAGTTTATTTGATATGGGGCTTTTTTTTATATTTATTTTTAATATCAGATGACGCCATTTAAAGTTTTACAATCTTTTTTATTTGTATAGGATTTGTTTATAATTAACGACAAATAATTTTATATGAATGAATGGAAAAAAAATTATATAAAAATAACATTTTTAATAATTATTTTATTAGTTGTTATTTTCCGTTTAATTAATTTCGTTTTTTTTTTTTTTATAACAATTTTTTAAAAACTGAGGTTGTCTCTGGGTCAATTCTTTCAAACGTTTTTTCAACGACTTTTTTTTTTTTATATATACAGGCTTTGAAAGATTTACGTTCTATCCTAAAATAAATAATAGGATTGGAAAATGTAATTTTTTATACGATTAAATTTATGAAAAAGTAGTAACTGATAAAATTGAATAAATTTGAGCAATTATAAATAAAATTTTAAAAGAATATAAATAACTTAAAGTTTCCCGCCATTTTTATTATTATAGAAAAAAATGTTTATTAAAAAGCAGATTTCAACCGGATAACTAGACTTTTTCCTACACTTGATAAAAAATTTTAATTTAAAACCTTTTTTATTTTTATTTTTCATACGGAGTGTTTAAAATTTAAGAACTTTGAAAAAGATAATAATGAATTTTTTTTTTATTTTTAATATTTACAAATGGAGAAGAAATTTTTCGGTTTAAGTTTTTTCGTGGCAGCAGTGTAATCATAATTTAAAATTTTTATAATTAAAGTATTTATAATTTTAATAATAATATAAATTATGAAGACTAATCTTTCTACTAAGACGAAGGGTCTTACCTGGAGAGAAATTAAACAGCGAAAACGTAAATGGAAAGAAGAGAGAACAATAAAAAAATTAGAAAAAATGCAAAAAGAAGAAATGGGTGAAGAAGAAGTTGAGGTTAAATCTGACTGTAAACCATGTGAATTGATCACCATGAGTATAGCAGTTCCTGGGTCAATTTTACAAAATGCTCAATCTAACGAACTTCGAGCTTATGTTGCTGGACAAATTGCTCGAGCTGCTTGCATATATAAAATAAACGAAGTAATAGTTTTTGATGACGCAGAAGAGGAACCATTAGCTTCCAACGAAAAGTCTTTAGTTAAATGTTCAAAATATTGTCTTCAATTTGGTAGACTTTTGCAATATTTAGAATGTCCTCAATATTTAAGAAAATATTTTTTTCCCTTGCATAGTGATCTACAATATGCGGGCATTATGAATCCTCTAGATGCACCTCATCATTTAAGACAAGATGAAAATAATGATTTTAGAGAAGGCGTGACGCTAGATAAACCTGTTAAAAACGATAAAGGAACATTCGTAGAAGTAGGTCTTACAAAGCAAGTGCTAGTTTATAAACATTTACAGCCTGGTTTACGAGTTACTGTGAAACTGAATCCTCCAAAAGAAAATTCCAAAAAATTAAAAGGAGAAATTGTGTCCCCTAATTTTCCATTACTAGACTCTAACCTTTATTGGGGGTACACTGTACGTATTGCCCATTCAATCAGTGAAGTTTTTTTAAACTGCCCCTATAAGGGAGGATATGATTTAAGCATTGGAACTTCAGACAAAGGAAAAAACATTGATGAAATTAAAAAAAAAGACTTGAGAAATTTTAAACATGGATTAATAGTTTTTGGCGGACTTCAGGGATTAGAAAATATCGTTGAAAAAGATACAACTTTAAATGTTGAAAATGTCTCACATTTATTTGATTTTTACATAAATACATGCCCAAATCAAGGGTCTAGAACTATTCGAACTGAAGAAGCTGTTTTTATTACATTGGCAGAATTAAGAAAAAAATGCTTAAAAATTATAAATGTCTGATGTTTCATTTTATTAATATATATTATTTGACCATTATATTAAGTTCTACCAACTATTGAAATTTTTAAAATCATATCCTACTTCTTTTCTTTTCTTACTAGATGGCTCCAACTTTTTATCTGAATTCATTCTGAAAATAAAATTACAAAATCATTAAACTTAGTTTAAATATTAAGTTGATAATCTGTTTTTGTCTGTACTCGATACTGACTTTGAATGTTCTTCTAAATTAATATATTTTCCTACTCCTGATCTATACACTTTTAACGGAGGAGCTTCTTTTTTTATCTCTGCCTTTTTATTTTCTAATTCTTCAGCTTTTCTAGCTTCTTCTCTTTCTTTTTGTAATAAATCATCAGCTTCTTGATAAGGATCGACAAATACTTGAGTCTTTAATATTATTATATCTTGTATAGGCCTATCTTTATTATCTGTTTCAATATTTTCCATGATAGTCAACGTTTCTAAACCTCCTACAACTTTTCCGAATACTGTGTGTTTATTGTCTAAATGCTTGCACGAGCGATATGTTATAAAACTGAAAAAAAAATTATCTATTTTCAATTATTCAAAAATTTGAACTCTGTATTATCATTATCTATATATTAAAGGTATTGCACTGAGAAGTAAATTATTGATAAAATACTTACAACTGGGATTTATTGGTGTTTGATCCTGAGTTAGCCATTGATAATATTCCTCTTCCATTGTGAGTTAAATTAGGTTTGAATTCATCTTCGAAAGGTTTTCCCCATATAGACTGACCTCCTGTACCTGTACCAGTTGGATCACCACCTTGAATCTGTAAAAATAAGAATAAAATATTATTTATATTGATAATTAAAAAAAAAAAACAAAATTTTTATTTACGATATTTACCATAAAATTTCGAATAGATCTGTGAAATTTTGTATCATCATAGTAATTATTTAGACAATGTTTTAAAAAATTTTCACAAACTTTTGGAACCAAGTCACAATAAAGTTCTACATTTAAATGGCCAAAATTGGTAACAAGTCTTACATAACCTAAAATACAATTAAATAAACATAACTGTGTTAATATTATTTTACAATTAATTTTTAGAACTCAAAGAATATTTTAAATTTAAATTTAAAAATCTTTTAAAAAAGAAAAATTTTTTAGTTCTTTTAAAAAAGCAAAACATACCTTTTTTTTTAATTTTTTCATATCTTAAGGTACTTTCTTCGATAACAGCCGCTTCATGCTTTGTTTCAGGAACCATAGCAGTAGATGTAAAACTCGCAGCTACCTTACCAGTAGAATAATGTGCCTGAAAAATATTTTGAATGATTAGAAAAAACTCAAAATAAGTATACTAAATCATAAGCACACAAAAAAAAATAAAATTAAAAGTAGAGTAACTTACCGCATTAAATTTATCAGCAATTTTTTTCTCTTCCTTTTTATTAATTTCGATATCAGGTGGTTTATATTTTTCATTAAGTTCTCCCAAAATAGCCTTAGCTTCATTATTTATGAATTTCAATCTAGAATTTGGATCTTCTTCTTTCAATAATGTATCCTCATCAACAATTTTTAAATCGTTTTTGACATGATGAAAATTAGAAATATTAAACTTATCAATATTATTCGGATCTTGAATAACAATTATGTCTTTTCTTTCAAAAGGTTCACTATTAAGTAAGTCTTTCCAATTTTTATTTTTTATGTTTAACTGTTCTACAGCTTCATGTGAAAAAACATTTCCTGTTTTTTTAATGGCAACAATATGTGACTGCTTATTAAAAGTTTTAAATAAAACAGGGCAATGATATTCTCCCGCAGCATTTTTATGAAACTTAAGTTTGGTCAATGATTTTGCATCCAAACTTTCTCCAGTTACAGGGTTTTTTTTGAACTTTTTTAAGTAGGGTACTACAGCTTGAAGATCAAATACGTTGCCACTTGAGTCACAGTAAGGGTGAACAAACGGTTTCAAGCACAAGCAACAGTGATCAAAAGGGAGTCGTCTGTATTTTAGTGAATTATCAGTCAAAGATCCTGCTTTTTTTCCTCCATATAATGTTACCCACTCTGACGAAGTGAGATACCTGAAAAAGAAAAAAAAACAATGTTAAATTTTTCCATCAATAATAAAAAAATAAACACTTCTTTAAATTAATTTTTTTTTACATTTTATCTTTTTGATGTTGCCGTTTACCCATTTTGAAAGTTAATTTTTGTAAAAAATATAAAAATCAAATTATCCGTTCCTATCAATACTATTATAAGGAGTATCAGTATTTACAAACAAGCGCAAGTAATTTTTTTTTCAAATAATGGTACCACTGTCACGGCTCGCAAGGTTAATACTTCAAAAACTTATCTAAATATTAATATTTAAAATATTAAATTGTCATGCATTACTGTCGTCCTTGTGGATGTAAGGGCGTTAGAACTTGTTTGATATGTGAAAAGGAATATGACTTAAAACCTGCAATAATTTCATCGTCAGAAAAGGTTAGCTATTTCAATAACTTGTAATCATTATTTTTTGATAGATTTTTAAAATTTTTATTTTCTATTATTTTAGGAAAAAATTATTTATTTTTACTGCTATTTATGTCAAAAAGCCTGGGAAAACGAATATGACTTAATTGAAAAAAACTGTCCCAATCATCGAGGAAAAAGTCTTGATGTGAATGGAATATTTGTATTGCCTGATTTTTTAACAGCTGAAGAAAAAGATTTCATATTAGATGGTATTAATAAAGAAAAATGGGACTCTTCTCAAAGTGGAAGAAGAAAACAAAATTATGGTCCCAAATGTAATTTTAAAAAAAATAAAATTCAAGTAGGAAATTTTAAAGGGTTCCCTTCATATTCCAAAATTATTCATGAAAAATTTAAAACTTTACCAATTTTAAAAGATTTTAGAGTGATTGAGCAATGCACCCTAGAATATGATCCGACAAGAGGAGCTTCTATCGATCCCCATGTCGATGATTGTTGGATATGGGGGGAAAGAATCGTTACTGTAAATATTTTAGGGGAGACATATTTATCAATGTCTAGGCATAAACAAAACAATAAGTTTAATTTGAATAAAGTAGAATCATATCCCTGTGTATTAAATAATAACGGGGAATTTATTTATAACAATAATTTGAGACCATTTGAATTTACCCACAATGTACCCCAAGATGAAAATGTTGAATTAAAAATTTTAATGCCTGAACGATCAATTATTATTTTATATGGGTCTGCAAGATATGAGTGGGAACATTATATACCTAGGAATGACATAAAAAATTTAAGGATATGTTTAGCTTTTAGGGAATTTACACCACCTTATTTACCTGGCGGGGAGAAAGAAAAAATAGGTATCGATATTTTAAATATCACTGACAACTATTGGTAGTCAGGAAATGTGATTTATTAAAAATTTTACATAATTTTCTGCTATATCTTTTTACATATTTAAAATATTAATTGAACATAAAAATTCTATTTTATTTTTGTAATTATTCATTTTGAATACATGATATTTAAAAAAGTTTATTTTTTGAATTTTTTCCTAAAAGAGAAATAAATTGAACAACAACTCCGTAAAGTTTTTGAAGAACTTAAAATAAAAATACTATTTAAATAAAGTATTTCTAGTAAAAAATTTTTGTAAAATTATTAATCTAAAAATTTATTTTAAATAAAGTTTTCGGCAGGTTGTTGATAACTCGATCACGTGACATAAAAAAAAAAAAAACGATTTTTCGTTCAAAGTAAAAAATTAACTTATATTAAAAAAAAAAATATTTAATTTTATCTCTGCCACCTTATTAAGATTTAATATTATACATTATAATTAATTGCAAAAATATTTTCAAAAAATACGCATATTTTGTTTCTTCGATAGATACACATTTATTACAAAAAAAAAAAAAAAAGGAAAATTAATAATGGTTACTCTTTTCATTGCGTTCTGTTTGTCTCGCGACATTTTCATTTCCGATATTAAAATGATTTTTCACTTGTTGTAATTTAAACTTTCGTAAACTTGTTGCCAGTGAGTACGAAAAATACGTTCCTAAAATCTAAATTTTAAAATTTTCACCATTAAAATTTATATAATTCTAAATTGATTTTTAGCAAATATTTAGCATAACGTACCTGAATAGTACTCACTGTCATTATGCCCAAAGCTAAAAACAAAGAACTTTTATGCAACATGAAATTAACGGCTGTTAAACATCCTCTTTTATTAACTTCCATCGTCGAATTAATTTTTCTACAACAGGATTCAGGTAAAATCGTGTTACCTCCTTGACATTTTGTATAATTTTTTTCAACTAATACATTATCCCAATCCCAATAGTTATTAACTCCGCAGCACCGTAACTGAGTTAAAGTTCAAGTTAAAAAAATTTTTAAACATAAAAATTATTATTATTATTATTAATTAATTTACCTCCAACTGTACGTAATCTACTAAATTAGCCGTAAATGGATCGTTCGGATATTCGTAAATGGCTTTTTTCATTTTATTCGATGCCATCGAACGTATTTCATCACGATAAGATAAAACTCCTAATCCAGCAGCAATTTCCAATGCAAATATGAATACTAAGAGTTGAGTATACTGGAAATTTATTTTTAAATTAAATCAGTATGAAGACAATATTCGCCATGATTAATATTATAAAAAACGTACTATACTTATTAACGTGCTGCTTTGTCTTGCTATACCGACATATCCAACTCCAGCCAAAAGAACAATAAAAACTCCAATGACAGGCAATAATAGTGATGGTGACAACATTCTATTGATGTCTGAAAAAAGTTCATGGGCTGTGGCTGCTATATAGACCAAGAAAATACTAGACATCTACTCGTAAATAAAAAAACAGACATTTTTTTCTTTTTTTTTTCGGTTCATAATTTTTAGCAAATAGTAGGTTTTCATGTAAAAATTTCATTATATGAAAATTTAACATTAAAGTATATGTAAATTACATTTATCGTGTATCGGTTTCAAAAGTCTTATTGATAAACACCAAGACTATGATAAGATTAAACGTAAAAATTATCATTTTTTAAAACCCAAATATATTAGTTATTAATCTGTTAAATTTCTTATTAAAATAAACTCATTTTGTTGCTATTTATGGTAAAAAAAAATAAACATATAAATAAATTTTCAATCTGAGTGACTAATGATACAATTAAAATTTCAAACTATTTTTTTTCATCTTCAAATTAACAGTAAAAAAAAAAAAAGATTTCGTTTTGTGTTTTCCTTAATTTAAAATTATTTAATTAATTAATTAATTAACTATTTATTTATTTATTTATTTAATGGGGGAGACACCATTACGCTTATTTTTTTTTTTAATTAATTAATAAATTAATAATAATCTTACGAGAAAAACGGTGTTATATGCAACCACCAAATTTTCCAAACAACTGACGTCTCTCATTGTAATTTCTTTTAAATTTTCCAATTTTCCCATGATTATAAAAAAAAAAAAAAAAAAAAATTAATTAATTAATTAAATAATTATTAATTAAAAATTAAAAATAAATACACTTATTGAAAGGTCTATTCGAACACAAATAAATAACTTCCTTTAAAAAAATTAATTTTCCTATTTGTTATCATATAAAGATAAAAATATAATCTTTTTTTTTTTTTTTATCATTAAAAAAAAAAAAAAAAAAATTTAGGCACAGGATTTTTTTTACAATTGACAAAGGTTAACCGTGTACCTGAAAATTAATTAATTATAATTTAAAAAAAAAAAAAAAAAAGAAAATTTCTTGTAACAATCAGCCTCTAACAATCAGATAGAAAAAAAAAAAATTGTTTAAATAATAATTAATAAAAAAAAATTTAGTTATGTAACTGTAATGTACATAAGTTATGTATTTAATAAAAATAAATAAATAAATAATTTTAATTAAAATAAAAGAATAGGTTTAGAATTTCTCTGTTATTAAATCATAAAAAAAAAAAAAAAAAATTAATCATCTATCTTTTCCATCTATTACATAGACTATCAGTTGTCATAACAAAAATCTTATCAATTATCTTTCTTATATGTTTATAAATCATTTTATTGTTTAAAATATTTTTTATTAATTGTTTTAAATAATTCCAAAAAAAAAAAAAAAAAATAATAATAATAATAATAATAATAATAATAATAATAATTACAAGAAGGAGGAAAACTAAAATTTAATCACAATTTACTAAATTTTTTTTTTTTGAATAAATGGATTTATTAATATAAATAAATAAATAAAAAGAAATTTATACTTAGTATAAGTAATAATACATATTAATTTATTAAACTAGAATCCTATAATTAATTAATTAATTAATTAATTAATACAAATACAATTTAAAAACATTTAATTATAAATAAATAACCCTGGGTCTGCTTGCTGTGTCTCATAAATAATTTTTTTTTTTTTTTATTAAATCAGGAATTAATTATGACCGTTAAATTTTTTTTTATAATTATCATTAACATTTATTTTACATTTCCTAATAATACTTTATTTATTATTAAATAAATAAATTAATAAATAAATAATAATGATTTAAACAGTAAGATATACATAAAATTCTGATGATGGGTTAGAAAAAAAAAAAACTTATTGAAATTTGATTCTGATATGCCAGCCAATGAATGAATTTTTATTTTAATTAAAAATAATAATAATAATAATAAACTAACCTAAGTTATAACTACATAAATAAAATAATTTTTTCTTTTGTTTGGTATATTTAAAAAAAAAATTAAAAACTTTTTATGGCTTTAGATATGCAATATGGGGGGGGGAGAGAGGAGAAGGGGGAAGGGGCATATAAAAAAACTTTATGTAATACATCAAAGTCTTATTATGATTCCTAAATTTCAATTAATTCTTCTTCCCAAAAAAAATTAAAATAAATAAATATATAAATAATTATGCTGTAAATATTAATTAATTAATTAATTAATGAAATTAATAAAAAAAAAATTAAGAGTTTACATTGATTGAATAATATCCATATTAAATTCCAATAAAATTTTTCTATTATTATTATTATTATTATTTTAATATGATATGATATTGTTTAATAAATTTTTTTTTTTTTTTTTTTTTCAAAATTATTAATGTGAAGTATGACAATCAATATCTTTGTGGTCATAACACATAAAATATAAAAAAAAATACAAATGAAAATTTAAATTTAAATTATTTTGTAAGTAATAATAATAATAATAATTAATAAAAACTTTGGCACAATTTTTTTTTTTTTTTTATGAAAGAAATTTATGGGAATGTTTTTATTTTATTTTATTATTTAATAATTTCACAATTCTATTCCTTTTACCTTTTATTTTTATTAAACTAAAAAAATAAATTATATATTTTTATTTAATTGCTGATTAATTAATTATTTAATTGAAATAAAATAATTAGCCCCGAAAAGAAAAATTTTTTATGATGATAATAATAATAATAATTTTGTAATTTTTAATTGAATTCAAATGAAAATTAAAAAAAAAATTATTTATAGTTAATTATTAATTGTTGTAAAATTCAAATAATAATAATAATAATCACAGCCAAATTGCCAATTATTAATAGTTATACATAATTTTTTTATATTTTAACGCTTTTAAAATTATATAAAATAAAATAAGAAAAAATAATAATAATAAGGTCATATATTTTTTAGTGAAAAATATATATATATAAATTAAACTTAGCATTTAAAAAATAAATTTAAATTTAATTTAAATTTAATTTTTTTTTTTTAACTAAATAAAATGAATATTATTTATTAAGTGATGATGATGATGATGATGGCGCATGCTATATTATTATTTAAGTATTAAAAATAATTTGTAAATTAATTAAAATTATACAAAAAAAAAAAAATTTTTTTTTTTTTTTATTAAAATATTAACTAAATACTGAAACCGGGTTTGCATCCGTTTCTAACCTACGAGATTTGTAAAAAAAATTTTTTTATTTTTTTTAAATTTCATATTAACAAATTAATAATTACATATTATTATTATTATTATTATTATTAGTTTGATTTAAGTAACTAAATGTCAACTTAATTATAATATATTTGATAATAATAATTTCATTATATATATATATATGCAATTACATATTGTTTAAATAATTTTCCTTATTAACCGTTTTAATAAAAGATAAAAAGAGAAAATAATAACCCCGCTATTTAAAATAAATTGTAGGTATGATTTTAAGGTTTTAAATGGAGTTAGGTTATGGTTGGGGGGGAGGGGAGGGGAGGGAAAAGCGTTTAGAATAAAAATTCATGGCTACGACGAAAAAATTTTTTAAAATTATGTTTTGCCTTAATAACTGGCACAAGCCTCTAAAAATATATATGACACTTTTAATAATAAAAAAAAGTTTAAAATTAAATCTATAAACTAATGAATAAGTTTTAAATATTTAATTTTAAAAAAAATTAATTTTTATGTGACTATATTGTTTTTTTTTTTTGTCCTATTTAATTTACAGTGATTTGATTTGATTATAATATTTCATTAATTAAATATATATTTTAAAAAAAAAAAAAAAAAAACATAAATTTTATATAATAATTAAATTTTTTTTTTTGTAAAATTAAAATGCAAAATGTATAACTAAAACAAATCAATAGAATTTTATTACATTTTTTTTATGTAATTGTGAAATTAATGAAAAAACACTCGAAGAAGAGCCTTTTTTTTTTTTTTTTTAAAAAAATGCATCTCATATAAAGATAAATAGATAGATATATAAATAAAACATTTCTTATTATAAGTTTTAAAAATGGAAGTCAGAAAAATCAAAAATGAAATAAGAGAGAGAGAGAGAGAGAGAGAGCAATGAGCATAAATATAAATTGAAAAAAAAAAAATTAATTTGCAAATATGTGCAGCACACAAGGTTTTACATCATTTCTCTTTTTTTCTTTTTAATACCAAATATTAACATTATTTTCATGTTATCAAAATAAAATTTGGCAAAAAGAACATAAATGATTATTATTTCGAATAAACAATATTAAACATGTTGATCCCAGGGTGAACTAGTAAATTATATCTTTTCTGTCGATTGAACCAAATCACGTTGCATAACGTTTTGTCCACAGTCTGGCTATACGATCATGTTCTTCTCTGTTCTGCAAATATTGAGTCGCAATACTTCCAACTAATGGATCAGCTGTAAAAAGTTATCAAATTGAGTATTATATTGTTTTTAAAAATTTTGATTTTATATAAATCATTTAAATTTTTCATTACTTACCAGGATTACAGTCTGTAAGAAGAGAGCAAATGGAAAGAAGCACCTTGGATATTGTTAAAGCAGGTGACCAGTTATCTTTTAATATGTCCAAGCAAATAACACCTTGACTGTTGATATTACAATGATAAATCCTTGTTCTAAATGTAACTTTAGGAGGTTTAAACGGATACTCTGGAGAAAAGTGAATATCTAGGAAAAAAACACCACCTTCGTAAACGGAACCAGGAGGCCCGAGAATGGTTGAGACCCATTCGTATAAATTATCTCCTTTTGGGCCTGCACTACAATTTGGCGGAGGATCTAATGAAATTTCAGCAAGTTCTTTTTGAATTCTCTTAGCTGATGTGCTAAGAGCTTTTGACATCTTAGGAATAGGCTTGGTCTCTTTATTATCAGTCTTTGAGTTATCAACTAATGATGCAGAACCTCGACCTCTTCCTGCACCACTAGAACCTGCCCCAGCACCTGCAGCAGACATAATCCTAAAAACACATAAATAATTAACATTTTTAATTAAAGGGACAACTTGATTTACCATTTGCAATTTCACATAATTATCATTTCAATCCATACATGAATGCAAACAATTATATATTCTTTAAAATAATGAAATTATATACAATTTGGCTAAAAATATTTTAAAAATACAAAAAAAAATTCTTTATTGCAAGAGTAGTAATAATTTTTTTGGATAACGTAAGCTTTTGCGTACTGCACAATTTCAAAAATTGATTTGAAAATTTTAAGTTCCTGCCATTAATCAGGAGCTCAAACAAGTAAACTTACTTAATTATGAATTTTTTTTAAAATAAAATTTACAAATTTTTTATAAAAATATCACTCATTTTTTTCATTCAAAAATATGTAAATTTTGAAAGAAAAAAAAAAAAAAAAAAAACATGAAAAAACAAAGCACAAACAAAGCTTTTTATTTAAAATTTAATATCCGAAATAATGTTATTAGTAATATAAAAATAATTACAATTTTTAAGGGTAAATATTTCTTAAATTGAAAAAAAATGAAAAATTACCCCACAGAAAATATTTTTTGCTTTCTCCTAAAAAAAGACAGTATTTACATTTATATATAAAACAACACCGGTTCGAAAAATTCTTACAACTTAAAACTTGATATTAATTTTTTATACAAAAACATAATTTTTTTATAAATATTACATGAGTGCAAAATATAATTTAATAAATTTTTTATTATTAAAACATTAATATTAAATACTAACCTTAGCTTTTATTAAAAATCCCCAGAAAAATTACATTTAAACATTCAATATGAATGAATAAATAAAATGGCGATGCTCTTGAATCGATCGTGTTTTTGAAATATTTTTAAAAAAAATTCAATTTAGGTATATTTATCAATGAAAGAACTCGTCCTTCCCTAAAAAATTATCAAATTTTTTTTAACAGTGAAAAAAATTATAAAATAATTAAAATAATTTTTGACAAGTAGTTTTAGTTTATATGGGGGCGCTACGGTTAATGTAACACTAAATACTTTACAAAAAAAAAAAATAAGGCCAAGTTGTAAAATCTGTCAAATTTACAAATAAATTATAAATTATTCTTTCAAAAAAAAAAAAAAAAAATTGTACTTTTGTTAAAAGGAAAAATCAAAATTTATAAAAAAATTTAATGATTTTAAAAAAAATATGTACTTATAAGAGTGTCTTATATATACATAAACATTTAAAATAATTTTTATTTTTCAAACCTATAAAAAAACATTATAATAAATACTTTTAAAAATAAATTCCAAAATTAAAAAAAAACAAAAAATACTTGAAATCAATTTGAAATTAAGTTTAAATTTTTAAATTTTTTTTTTTAGTATTTGTATAAATAAATTTCATTTAGGTAAAACAGTTTAATAATTTTTCTTTTCCATTGGGAAAAAATTATAATTTTCCATATAGAATTACATACATTAAAAAAAAAAATCATGAAAATTTTTTAAAATAATAAAAATAAATATTTGATTGAATGAAAATACAGTTTAATAAATATATATTTATAAAATATATTTTTTTTTTAATTATTGAATATAATTTTAACAACAAATAGATAGATTTAAATTTACATTTAGCAAAATTACATTATTTAAATATCGATAAAGGTATTTTTTCTTTTTAATTTT